TTTCCCCAATCAGCTTCCTTCTATTGTCTTTCCTGTGATTCTTTATAGCACTTTCCACAACTTACAATTACATGTTCATACTTATTTGGTGGCTGTATCCTCTATTAGAATGTAACTTCCATGAGGATAGTGTCAGGTTTTGTATCCCAATGCAATATCAACCTACCTCAAGTGCTTCTGACTATGTCTGCTGCAGAATAGGTGCCTAATAAATATTTTGAAACAAATGCATGACTGAAAGAGGGAAGCAAGCATGCAAACAAGTTTTTCATGAAGCTATTTCATATAGCCTCAGTATAGAAATGAACAAGGACAGGTATTTTAAGCAAATTTATAATTCATGAAAATTTAAATTTACATAAAGCGTATGTTGAAAGGTGATTTTTCCACTTTACAAAAAGATCCATCAAAAGATTTTTTTAAACAGGCTTTCCAGGTACATGGAAAGTAAGACTTTATTGATTAGAACCATATGTTTGCACAGAATTCTTTAGGAAAATGTCTTTTATATAAAGCAAGGTTGACCTATAAGCAATTTCCTTAAGGCACCTAGCCCAGAATGGCCAACTCTCAAATTTCTAAGGTAATAGAGAATAGGAGGTCTGGAATGCAATGGTATTTGAAACCCTAGAATGCAAAGCAGTAATTTCAATCATTTAAGGTCCTCATGACTTTTCTCAAAAAAATTTTCTAATGGAAAGATGAATCAATGCATCTGAATCTCCCCACTCTTCTTTCTGTATGTCAGTGAAAGTAGGAATGACTGTGGCATGACCCCCATGAGGCTGCTATGGAAAAAGAACAAAGACTTACAAAATTCACCAAATTAATGCTTTCTTACCAACTCCCCCCACCACTACTACCACCACTGATAATTAAGTTGTCTGATTGCAAAACCGGAAGGAAGAATTCAGGGTGTTAATAAATAAAATGTAATTAACTTCTGTGGGTCTCAATTTCTTCATCTTAACAATGTGGGAGTCCTTTTGAAGATCATTGTTTTATAATTCTGTTCCTAAACCTACCCAAACTTTACAAAATAAGGTAATTTATGACTGTTCTCTCTGTCTAATGAAATAAATTGCACAGCTATTTCTGCTTTTCCTATTAGACATTTTAATAAGAGATTATGAACTTAAAACTTGTATAAAATTGTTTGATTTGTCTATTATTGCTGGTTCTTTCCAAGAAGGAAATTACTTGCAGGTCACAACTAACCTTTTCTTTATCAAACATATTCTGCTGTGATGCAAGCATAGGAAGCTATTCACAAACTGCAATACACATAAAATATTTTAGCTGCAGGAAGGAAAAACAGTAGTAATAAAGATAAGGTTTGCTAGGGTATGGGTGAAATTTAGCCTTCAAAATCAGGACTACTTTTATCTCAAAAAATCTAAAATCTCTAAATATAGATAGAACAAAATATTTGAAAAATGGAGAAAAGCAATCCTAAATCTATAGAATTTTGGGCAACATTTTTGTCCTCATTAGCTTCGTGAGGTATTATCCTAGGCTCACTACACACAATTTTGATTTTGCCCCAAATATTACTATATTTGATCACAATTTTAAGGGAGAATTGTTTCCCTAAATGATGTACAAAGGTATTAACTTCTGACATAAAGGAATTTAGACTAACAATGTTGATCCCTAAGACTCTCTCCTGCAGGACTTGGAAAGCTAAGGATTGTATTTATAGGAACACAAATCATTTAGCTAGGTCCTACTTTGTAGATTAAAAAGAGATCTTGAAAATACCAGCAAGGGCCTCCCCTGGTAGCGCAGCGGTTGAGCGCTGGGCTGCGAAGCTGCCCACAGCCTCTGCAGTGCCGGTTTGAACCCAGGCCACCAGCAAGGGTCCCGCATGGCGGGACAGACCTCTCCTGCCACCCACTGCTCCCCTCAACAGTGTATTTCGTCTATCTGCCTGCTCTGGTGAATTCTCTCACTGCCCCCCCACCCCGCCCCGCGCTTCTGACTGTGCCAGTGTTTGCATAAATAAATAATCTTTAAAAAAAAAATACCAACAAATCGAATTATATTTAAAAGCTAATGTTTTTATATTTGCCTATATGTTTTTCTCTTCCCTATTTACTTTTGAAAATATCAGATGGTTTCTTCAGGGAGAAAGAGGAATAGGTTCAGAAAGAACAAAAAATAATAAAGGGCTGGGCATGGTGAAGTTGGAGCTGACAGATGATCAGTCAAGGTCCCAAAACTATATTGACTACAGCAAAAAGGAATTGCAGTAGAAACAGGCAGATGAAGAGATGGCAAGGAGAGGAGAGAAAATCATGAAAGAGGATTTGCTAACTGAAGCTCTGAGTTGAAAACTAAGCAGAAGAGTGAAGACTGGAATTCATTTTGAGCACAGGACGCAGGCTATGCTCTGGTAATGACAGAAATATGGAGATCAGCACTATTGTTTTCCTGTGTAATCCCTGAGGATAGCAACCTCTGCTTTGGATTGAAACACAATTGAGAAAGAAACAAATATTTACCTATTTTTATGAAATTCTGAAGGAAATAGAATTTTACAAGTATATAAGTCAGGTCCTCATGTGAATTTCTAATTCACTGTGTGTTCATGTTCAGATGTTTGGAGCTAGAATAAGGCACAAGGGCAGTGGGACTGGACATGTGTAAATTAAAAAAATGTCCTCAGGTTGGATAGATGGATACATAGATACATAGACAGGGGGTGTGCAAACTAAAGATACAAACATACACACAAAGTTAAATTTGAAGTTGTGTTAAACAAATAAGGAATAAGTGGAATTTCAATAGATTTAAGAGGAATCTTTAATTTAACTGAAGAATAGGTGTAATTGAGTGCCTTTTTCCCCTGGTAATTAGCAAAGTATCTTTTCCTGTGTCTTGATACCAAGACCACAGGATTGCTTCTGAGAAAATATGTACTGAGAAAAATTATCTGTCACTAAGAATATGTCCTCATAATAATTTAATCACAGGGTTTTTTTTTCTTTTCATTTCAAATGTGTAGTTTTTGATTTTCCTAAAAATGCTGAGGAAACGCAAGGATTCCACAAAGAAACACAGGGATAAATTTTTAAAGTATGCTAATTGTTGGAAGCCCTGGTGTACTTTCAGTGGAAATGCAAATTGGTGCAGCCACTATGGAAAACAGTATGGTGGTACCTCATAAAATTGAGATTAGTATCCAAAATGATCCAATAATCCCATTTCTGGGTGTACACTCAAAGGAAATGAAATCAGGATCTTCTAGAGATGTTAGCATCAGCATATCCAAGTTCATTGCAATAGTTCTCAAAACCAAGATGAGAAAAAACGTAAGGGTCTGTCGTCAACAGATCAACAGATAAACAAGACATGGTGAACCTATAGTCTGTAATATATATGTAGAGTATTGTTCAGTCATGCATGAGAGAGGACATTTGCAACAACTTGGAGGGACCATGAGGGCATTATGCTATACAAAGTAAGTCAGAGAAAGTCAAATACCACTTTTTAGTTCACTTTTAGGTGAACCTAAAAAAGATAAACTCAGAGACACAGAGAGCAGGATGGTGGCCTGATATCAGGGAATAGGAGGAGAGAAATGGAGAGATGCTGGTCCAAGGGTATAAACATCCAGTTATAAGAGTAGCAAGTTTGGGTATCTAATGTACAGCATTGGGATTATGGCTCATAATTCTGTATTATTGTATACCCCTGAGAAAGTAGATCTTAAATGTTCTTACTTCAAGAAAAGAAATGGTAGCTCTGTGATAGAACTGAGCAGGTAGCTATCAATAATACTCTGGTGGGAAACATTTTGCAAATGATCGCCATATCAGCAACAACTTGTACACCATAAACTTGCAAATGTTTTCTATCAATTATATTTCAATAAATCTGGAAAAAATAAAGTACCATAACTGCCTTTGTGCCCAGTTAGTTAAAAATATCCCTAGGCATGAGAGTGCTCAGAGCATGCCCACTGTGCCTGACTGGCCAAGCCTGGGGCTACATGCAAGAGTGACTGTGGCCTGAGGAGGGTGCTAGGCAGGAGGAACCCAAGTCTCCTCCCAGCACTGAACCCATCAGAGCTTTGGGGTCTTCATTTGAAAAATGAGAGTATTACTAGGTGTTCCATGAGGGCCCTTGCAGCAGCATCATTATGTGATCCCATGAGTTTAATCTTAAATGCCTGTGCTCCCTAAACTCAGGAGGAGGTTACTCAGCTTTCAATTATATATTAACAATAATCTCTCAGTTCTTTACACTCTCGAATTAACAACTTAAATTTAGTCTTCTCTCACAAGATTGTGTGCACACTACACATTCACTATCTGAGTGGAAAGAAGGCAGGAAGGAGGACAGTAGCTAAGCTATGGAAACAACCCAAATGCCCAAAAATAGATGACTGGATCTGGAAGATGTGGTACATATACATAATGGAATATTACTCAGCAATCAAAAATGATAAACACATGCAATTTGCAGCAACATGGATGGAGCTGAAAGGGATCATGCTCAGTGAAATAAGTCAGAAAGAAAAAGAAAAATACCGGATGGTCTCACTCATAGCAGGAATCTAGAAAACCTATATAAAGGACCAGGAAAAAACATTATAATAAAGTAAAAATCAAAATCAACAAGCAATTATAAACCAGAGACACACTACAGGGGTGAGGAGGAGGGAGTAGGATCAAAACAAGGGGGGATGGGAATTGTATGGGACTATAACCAAGATGAAAATACGTAGATTGTGCAAAAATGAAAAACGAAGTAAAAATATATGTAAAATTAAAAGGAGAAATAACAGAAGCAGCACAATTTAAAAAAAAAAAAAGAGGAACTCAGTGACATATTTTTCTGCTTTCAATATTTCACCTTCATTCCATGCAGAATGATCTTGTATTACTTAGAATAGAGAATTATGCTTTCATGAGTTCATCGAAGAATTGTCTTAAATTTACCACATAAAGAACATAGTTATTATCAACAACCATCTTCACCTCATGTTTCACTAGGTTTGGAAAGAAGAAAGATGTTAAGGGCGGGAAAGCTGAGCAAAAAGGAACTCTGAAGCATGGAGGCCTGAGAGAAGAGGAGCTGGAGAAAATGAGAGAAGAACGGGAAAGGTGAGTAGCAACACTGAGCTCCCCATTTTATTGGAGGCCACGGTCTGTATTTTATTGGATGTTTGCTTCATTCAACTGGAGAGATTTTATTTTAAGGAGCATAGAGGTTGACTGATGCAAAATGAAAGGTACCTGGTATAAAAGGAACCCACTTCTCTGGGTCATTTTTATTATTCTTTTGAGAAGAAATTTTGTTCATGTTTTTATTATGTGAGTACTTATAATTTCATAATACACTACTCCCGGTTTTGACTATATCAATGCACATTTTCCTTAACAGTTTAAACAATGAGTTTTTATTTTCAATAAAATGGTCGTTTTGATATTGATGTCTAGAACTATCAAATTTCCATAGTCTGTTCCTAATTTTTGTCAAGCTGTTGTATGCCTTCTTAATTTTATTCTGCTAAATCCATTTGGGTACTGTAATTTGAGAAGTACGTGTCCTTCATTTTTAAAAAGCCAGTGCCTTTTATTAGGCTATCAGCAAGTTGCAAAGTATGTTGCCCATCTGTTAAAGGGCCGGTTTCATTTACTGAAATAATGACAGTCTGCAAGGGATGAATCCTCCTGTTTGAGGGGCTTAATGTTCCATTTGGACAAGAGGTCCTTCACTTATCTTTGATGTTAACTCTGGCTCTTACCCCAAGTAGATGTGTAAATGTCTGGTTTTGAAACACGTAATTGAATATTCATATTTCTCCTGAAAATTCTTTACTTTCACAACTTAGCAGAGCTTCAAAAACGACTGAGATTATGACAAAACTATCAATAGCATATAATTTAAAGTATTTGATTCTGAATGTATTATATATGCAGTCAGATTTGCCTAAATTTCCACTTGCTTATTAGCCACATCAATTTATGTCGTTTTAAAGGACCGGTTCTCATACTTATTTTAATAGAACATACACTAAGAAAGTCACATTTATTATTCATTGTGTTTTCTAGCACAGGGAAGGCTAATAGTATCTACTGTTAACCTTTGGCCCCTATCTTGTAGTCTATTCCTGGTGAGAAGACTGACTTTATCAATAGTGGGGCAGGTAAAAGCCTATTTAGTCCTTTCTCATTTTTGAGAGGTTGATAAGCTCAGTTCCAGGGTCAGTGGAGCAGTTAAAAGGAAATCAACTACTTTACATTGTTGTTGACTATTCACCTGACAGTCTGCCCCAAAGACAAGAAAGATGAAGTCTCCACCATCACCCAAGATTCAGTCTTCCTGTAATGTAGGGTGTAATTCAGGCTAAGATTTTAATGCATATATTGGCAAGACATCTATGTGGTGTGTCCACATCACAGATCTTTGCTGCTCCCCTGACTTCAATTTCTGAGGCACCGTTCCTATACCATCTCTTCAGGAAACTGAGCTGTTTGCTGGCATTCAGACTTCACAGTTTTGCATCTCGACACTTGCTTTGGCATGGGGGCGGGGAATTACTTTTAGTAGCTAGAGAACTGTGTGCCAGCTAGAAAATTGATAACCCATAAAATAAAGTGGGTTGTCTTTAGCAAGAGTTCATTTCCTTTCTGGTTTTGCCTTTCGGAAGCAGGTGCCTCCGGGAGTTTTGTTCTTAAAAGTAGGGCTGTAAATTCACCTCAGCTGGCTATATAGGCTTCAGATCCAATTTTCTTAAAATATGTCTGGTCAAATATTGAAAGAACTGTACTGTTAGCCTTCACTTGGGCCACTTCCCACACATGAACACATAAAACACATGTGATGTGGGTTTCTTAAAGACAACATAGTCTCAATCATGGGCAATGGGAAGAAGTTGGAGGAGTTGATTTTATGGTGGGGTGCTATAGAATTAATGACCAAGGGCATTTCAACAGCTTAGGGGCTGAGAGCCATGAAGGGTGGAGGTGGAGGCTGAACATTTGGCATTGCTCCCAACCCTGGAGTCCCATTTCTTGGCTCTCCATGATCCATAGGAAACCAGTTCACAACTCTTAAAGAACTCAGCGAGTTTTTCACTCTTCATGGCATGGCCATGGGAGAGATAGACTAAAATATGAAATAGTGCATCATAGTTCACAAAGTTGTCTTTTCTTCCTAATGCATTTGGAATTTGTTACCTTAAGATGACTCAAGTCATCCTATTGCTTACTTGTTTTATCCTAGCTGTCACAGGTTTAATAGCTTTTAGTTAACAAATCATGTTTTCAAAGGAGTTAAAATACTAAAATAGAATATATATTGTACATTGTTAAAGCAGCTTATGAGTGCAAAAATAAAAATTTCTCATCCAAATCAAGCCACATGATTGTTTTTTAAGTGTGCTCCACCCACTTCAGAATGAATCACTTGGGTGAACTGTTAAAATAGATTCCTGAGTACCACACCAGACTTGCAGAATGAGAATCTTAGGAGGTGGGAGCCCAAGAATCTGTTTAATAGGTAAGCCCAACTTGACTCCTTATCATTCCAAAGTCTAGGAATCACTAACTTGAAGGGACAGGATTTGGCTGAACATTAGATTAAGCTGTTCTTACTCTATAAAAAATAATAATAACACAGTTTTTTCCCCCAGGACAATTGTAGACTCAGTCTACAACTATGGTCATCTTCCTTCATATGCTTTCTTGGCAACATCCTATCTTACTGGCACAATTTTTTTTTAAAGATTTTATTTGTTTATACAAAAACTGGGGTACAGGCCAGAGACATGGGAGGGTGAGAGGATTCACCAGAGACAGAGCGGGGAAGAGAACAGGCAGACTGACAAAATACAGTGCTGAGGGGAGCAGTGGGTGAGACAGGAGGGGTCTGCTGTGCTATGTGGGACCCTCGCCGGCCGGCTGGTTTCGAACCAGTGCTGCAGAGGCTGCAGACAGCTTCACAGTGCGGTGCTCAACCGGCTGTGCCACCAGGGAGGCCCAGCACAGTTTGAAAACAAGAGAGGAACTCTGTGCCTGTGCCCATTCACCTAAGAGGGGTGAATCACATTCCCTCAAGTGTGCAGGTTGAAATCCCCTGTTCTAACCTATGGACTTGACAGATAGTAACAGTACTCTGCTGGGCGTTTGAATTGCTTTGTTTTATGCTATCCTGTGAATAGAGTAGAGAAATGTACACCAGATGACAAAACTCTACAAGGATAGTTATTATAGAAACTGTACCCAAAGATTGATAATGAACACTCCCTCAATACAAGCTCAGATGAATGAAGTTTTTATCAAAAATTTATTTTTAATGCTGGCCTGCTGAGCACTGGCATCAGTGATAGTGCCTGTTGATCAGATTATAAATGCCAAGAAGCTGCAGGGATTGATAATGATGCCAATGACCGAATCATCTGGAACAATGGATTGAATCAAACATGAAGACACTTAATAGGAATAAATGTAAAGTTTGCTTTTAGATCCAAAAATGAACTGTAAAAATACAGGATGTGGAAGGTTTGACTTAATACTAAATATATGAAAAACTTTCCTGATGGTTATAGTTGAGGGTAAGTTTAGCATGAGTCAACATGAGGATGTGCCTGCCAAAACCTTAATCCAATGCTAGGCTGCAGTACTGGAAATTTCATGTACAAATTGAAGGGAGAAACAATAATTCCTATTTTACTGTTTAGCTCACACCTGGAATATCTCATGCCTTTCTCATATAGAGATTAGGTGCAGTAAATCCTTGTCTTTAGAAAAATGTTGAGGGCCTAGGAATGCATAACACATAGTTAAAACTTAGTTGATTTCACATGATTAAAGAACTTCCACATATCTAGAGGAATTGTCTTATTTTATAACATCTTTTCTATTCTACTCTATCTGTATCTCTCTATCTGCTTACGCATCCATTCATGTATTTTCATGAAGATACTAATGGGGAATATACTTAAGAGAAGTAACCTTCAACTTAATTGAAAGGAAAATATCCTTTCAATTATAGTGCCTCATGAGACAGTGAGTTTGTTGACACTAGGAATATCTAATAAGAAGCTACTGATCACATTGAGAAAGAATTAATACTTCAGGAAGCTGTTGGATGATATCAGAGCTCCAAAAATATCAGTCATTGAAATAGTACCTTTATTGTCTTAATTATATTTATATTTTTATATAAATATTAAATAAATGCAAAGCTATATAGTTAATGTAATTAAATGTATTAAGTCACACAGCACCTAAAATCATCTTGTGTATCATTAATTGCTGCATTTGTCCTTAGATGATCTCTATCATCTGATTGCTCGCAAATCTTTGGATCCAAGAAATTATAAATATCTAAGTATAGAAGCATCTACATTGATTTCCTAGAGACACCTTTCATGAACTTGCCATGACATTGGCTCCTTGTAGTGTGTGCACTATACTTATCTAAGGGCATAAGCCCAAATTTCTTTCTCTAGATGGTGTGTTAGGATTTTTCTGAGTTTCATATTCGATTTCCTGAGATGATCATATGTTCCCTTGTGACACAAATCATTCCATTGCAGTGAAGCCCTACTGCATCAATTTTGTTCATGTTTCAGTGAGATTGGCCAAAATAAATCATTAGTTCCAAATGCCTGTATTCATTATTAGAAGTATGAATCCAATATTATATTGAACGATTATTTCACCTAGAAATTTTTCTCAAGCTAACCTAAATCAGCATCTCCCTAACATTTATATTATGTAAATTAGTATGGTGAACAGAAGCAAGAGATTGTCTTAACAAGTCAGTAAACATAATCTTGTTTGATTCTTAGACTTTAACTTAAATTTGTAATCTTCTGCAAAGTGTGAAATTAACCAGATTCTTGGATTTATGAAGTGCCTAATTACATGCATGTTGTACTTGTATTGCTGCTAGCCTCTCAAAAGTCAGATGGAGATTGGGTCAATAAGAATATGTTCACCTTATTTATTTAGGATTATTATACCGAGGGTGAGGGTGAAGTAATCAACATCAACACCAAAGGCTACCGTCCAATACAATCCCATACAACTGACATTGAAATAAAATTCACAAAATGAAACTTCTTACAAAAATGGGAGAGGGGGCCTCCCCG